ACTCCGGAGTGGCCCATGGTGTGAGGCGCCAGGCGGGTGTGGGGATACTCATAAGTCCCCGGCTGAGTGCTGCTACATTGGAGTTTACCCCAGTGGACAAAAGGGTCGCCTCCCTACGCCTTCGGGTGGTGGGGGGGAAAACTCTGACTGTTGTCTGTGCATATGCAGCAAACAGCAGCTCAGAGTATTCTGACTTTTTGGAGACCCTGAATGGAGTCCTGCATGGGGCTCCAGTAGGGGACTCCATAGTCCTACTGGGAGACTTCAATGCGCACGTGGGCGACGATGGAGATAACTGGAGAGGCGTGATTGGGAGGAATGGCCTCCCTCATCTGAACCCGAGCGGGTGTTTGTTACTGGACTTCTGTGCTAGTCACGGATTGTCCATAACAAACACCATGTTCGAACATAAGGATGTTCATAAGTGTACGTGGTACCAGAGCACCCTAGGCCAAAGATCAATGATCGATTTTGTAATCGTATCGTCTGATCTGAGGCCGCGTGTTCTGGACACTCGGGTAAAGCGAGGGGCAGAGCTGTCAACTGATCACCATCTGGTTGTGAGCTGGGTCAGAGGAAGGGGGAAGACTCGGGACAGACCCGGTAAACCCAAGCGTGTAGTGAGGGTGAACTGGGAAACTCCAAAAGATTTTCAACTCACACCTCCGGCGGAGCTTCTCTCACATTCCTGTGGAGGTAGGGGACATTGAACCAGAGTGGTCTATGTTCAAAACCTCCATTGCTGAAGCCGCGGCGGTGAGTTGTGGCCTCAAGGTCTTGGGAGCATCAAGTGGCGGTAACCCTCGAACTCCGTGGTGGACACCGGTGGTCAGGGAAGCCGTCCGACTGAAGAAGGAGGCCTTCCGGGTTATGATATCCGGTGGGACTCCAGAGGCAGTTGCAGTGTACCGACAGGCTCGAAGGGCAGCAGCCTCTGCCGTGATGGAGGCAAAGCAGCGAGTATGGGAGGAGTTCGGGGTAACTATGGAGAAGGACTTTCGGTCGGCACCAAAGTGTTTTTGGAAGACCATCCGGCACCTCAGGAGGGGGAAACGGGGAACCATCCAAGCTGTGTACAGTAAGGATGGGACCCTGTTGACCGCGACTGAGGAGGTTATCGGGCGGTGGAAGGAACACTTTGAGGAACTCCTGGACCCAACTACTACGCCCTCTTTGGTGGAGGCGGAGGAGGGATCATCGTCAATTAGCCTGGTGGAAGTCACTGAGGTAGTCAAACAACTCCGCAGTGGCAAGACCACTGTCTTGTGTTAAAATTGAATTAGTAACAGCCTACTGGTGTTTTTGTGATATCTTTTGGTTGTGCGCACAGGGTCAATGAGGACAGGTAAGATACTCCGGGGTTTACATATTGCTACACGTAGGTGTACCTGTTGTAAGTACCCTAGGCTAGAGTGAGCACCACCCACTGTATTTTTGGGTGCTAAGCACCGGTCAATGAGGGGGGGTTATGTTCTCTTCTTGGTGCCACTGACAGTCCTTGTTGATCCCTGTGTTGCTCTTTTGAAAAACAAATACTTTGTTACGTTTTGTGTATTGGATTCTGTGTGGCTAACGCCTCACTTGCCTTGACCTGTCGCCCTTATGTTGCGCTCCGGGTCGAGCCACCAGGGAGCGTAACAGGCGGATATTAACGCGTCATGACGTCATCCACGAACCCAGAACGCCCCCAGCGGTGCAGCGGTGGTTCTTGTGCACCGACTACGGACCGCGACGACTATTTTACGCTTCGGCGAGTTTGAATGTGGCTTCGTTAGTTTAGCTCAGCGGTCTCGGGTTAGCTGCCTGTTAGCTGCCTGTTAGCAGGCTGAAGCCGCGCTGCTTCACAGAAACATGAAGACGCGTTTAAAGACTGTCGGACCTTTCTGCTCTGTTCTCTGGCGACGGCAGGCAGCGTTTCCTCGCTGGATGAGACGCTCCGTCACAAACACACGTCTAATGTAATAAACTCATTGCAGGTTCTGAAGCCAAGAAAATAATGTATTGCAGCGATTGTAGGACGTTAAGGTCTCTCTTGTTGGGACAGAGTGAACAATAAAGGAGCATGAAGTGTCAAACGCGTTGCAAGTAAACAGACAAAGACAACAAAGTGTTGCGTTTAGGTCCCTGGTCCTCATCAAGTTGTTACACCTTTGCCAATTTGTTAAATTGCCTTGCAAATAAATGCTTTGCTATTTGTTAAAATCCAAATCCTTTCATGTAATGATGTTTCACACGTCATTTATATCAGCTCACACAAACACTTCAACCATTTGTTCTTCGTCACATTTTACAACCCATTGTGGCAGCGAGTCAAAACGTTTGCCGACCTGCTATAGACCTGTCCTATGGGAGGGACATCTATAGACCTGTCCGAGGGCCTGAGAAGGGAAGAAAAGGAGTTTAATATGGCTGTTAAATGTGACTAAAACTAATTACATTATAGTCTAGTTTTCGACTAAAACTAAGGATTAAAATGACTAAATGTGACTAAAACTAATATGCATTTTTCGTCCTAAGACTAAATCAGAAATAGCTGCCAAAATGAACACTGGTCTAAACTGAGGGAAACAGGCTTCAGCTTGAGCGGCCCTTTTTCCGCTGGGTCCTAGTGCTTGACCAGTCTCTGTTTACCGTAGCGTAACATTGTTTTTGGACAGTATAAACAGCAGGGGACCAAAACGGGTTTTTTAAAAGGTGCAGGGGACATGTCTCCTATGTCCCTCCCCCAATGTGATATTGTGTATTTATATTTACACTTCCTCCTGCTTAAAGATGGACGACTGACCTCCCGTCTCATCTTCATATCAAACTGCAGAGCAGCTCTTAAATGGACGTCTGCATTTGTCATTTATAGTAAATGATAAATATTCACTGCTTAGTTTTTCACATCCTAAAATAATATGTTTCACAAGCTGAATATATTATCAGTGATAACTGGTTGTTCTTATCGTCCTTGTGTCTGTTGTGATGTGGTATTATTATTATTATTATTATTATTATTATTATTATTATTATTAGCTCCTCCTCCTCTGCTGAAGATCGTCGTCCCTCCTGAGCGTGAATACTCCGCCTGGATCGGCGGCTCCTTCTCCACCTTCCAGCAGATGTGGATCAGCAAGCAGGAGGACGAGGCCGCTCACAGCATCGTGCACCGCGAGTGCTTCTAAGGCGCTTTTCAGACACTTGATATTAATTATCAACGCTTCAGGTCTGATGATAAATGAACTTTACATGCTGCTGTTATAAATGATATTAACATTTTGACTGACTGGTAGAAACTGGTACAATGTACAATAGTATTTTCTACATATTAAACTACTTTATGTGCCGTTGAGCCTCAAACTCTGAGCCCAGTTCTCTCTGCTGCAATCTCACTAAAAGATTCCACCAAATCATCACAGATGTAGCTTTTAAATACTCACTTCGTTGTGGGACTTGTGAGTAAGATATTGTATTTAAATTAAAAAGTAGAGGCTAATTCACCCTTCATTTAAGTCTCCAAAAAATGCCCCAAAATGAAAACGCAAAGAAATCACCACGGCATCATTTTTTACAGAAACTGTCTGAAGACATTTTCATCGGTGTATTAATCAGAACTTTGCGTGATACAGAACGGAAGTGACCATTAACAGTAAAATGAGTTGAAGTTTGATTTTCTGTTTCACTCGTTGACTGATCAGGAAGTACTGGATTCACCCGCCACAATAAAGGTCACAATGGAATATCACTCTTTTTGGACATTGTTGAAAGTTTTCTTTCAGATGGAGACCATTTAACTTCTAAAATACTTTTTTTCTGCCATTTGTCCTTTAATCCAGTGAAGAAGTACTGGATAAGATGGTGATCAGAGTTTCTTAAAAGCAATTTATTTATTCAATTACAACATGCACACACGTAATGTAGCAGCACAGATATAATTAAAGCATCATGAATATTCTGCTTCAAGCCACTAATTCTGATATTTTAATGCAAGTATATATATAAAACACATTAAAGCAACAATGAAATTCAAAGTTCTCTACCGAAGAACATTTAAAATAAAAACAGTGATTCAAGAGCAAAGAGAACGAAATAAAAACTATAGTTTTAACTTTGTAAAGACCTCAGATAATAACTTGTGGTACTGAAGGGAAATATGTCCACTGGTTCCTGTCTCCGTCCAGGTGAGTCTCCCTCTGGTTTCACTGCATCTGAAGAAGATCACATGAAGTTATTCCTCAGAAACGGAAGCAGGAAGTTGTTTTGAGTGCAGCAGACTGACACCTGAATGACCTTCACACCTGGTCCTCCTGCTCCTCTGGGTCTTCTCTCTGTGCTGCCATGTCTGAGAGGTCCTCATACTCAGGATGAAGGTCCATCTGATGGAGAGACGATGAGAGTCAAAGGCCTCAGAGAAGCAGTTCAGATACAACCGACCCTCGGCTAAGCCCCTCCCCCAACGCACACTGTACATTCCTACGTTAGCAACCGTAACTAGGGACCAGAGGCCTTTAGAGGGTTGATGTCACTTATGGATTAAACATGTGGAAGACTGAATCCATCAACGATCAATAAAAACTCCTTTGTTTGCTCCGAGGTAAGATGCTAATAGCGTTAGCTAGCTTAGCATGACAGTCGAATATGAATTATTCTCATTAATGTGTAACAAACATAAATCTGTCACCCAGGAGATCCTTGTTTGTTCCTGGTGTGAAACAACAAGTACAACTTTGTCTCGTGACTTCAGTACTTTAAATTAGTTATTTTAACGCTAACTAATATTTATTCCTAAACTCTGGTAGTTTTGTTGCCTGAACTTAACCAAGTATTTCATCATCTTTTCCTAAATGTGCTTCTGGTGAAAACACAAGCGTATTTAGTAAAAGTCTGTATGACTGAAATGTAAACGTTGCTGGTTTGCATCCCGACATTTCACCGCCATGTTTACGTGCTGTGATGCTGAAGCTGGACAGACCTAGCAACAGTAACCAAGGGGAAGGGCTTAGCTGATGTTCAATACGACTCTTTGTCCTTTAAATCGCTCTTCGGATTCAAAGGACATTTGCAGTAAACGTGGTAAATAAATATTGGTGGTTCAAAAGGAGAAAGATGTTAGTGATGAAGTTACTTCTGAATTATCTTCATGACTTAATAACAACAGACGATGACCCTTTGGTGAGTTCTGTCTCTGAGGACAAATGTCTCACCTCCACAGCCTCTCTGGACTCATGTGGTTCAGTGGTGGAGCTCACAGCTTTCTTCTTCCTGCATTCAGTCATAAAACAAACAGATACACAAATAGATTGATGGACCTTTTCAAAGTAAAAGCTCAGTGAGGATGAGTTCTAGTTGTTTTACCTCGTCCACAGACAAAAGAGAAGCAGAAGAATCAGCATCACAACCAGCAGAGGCCACCTGGTGATGTGAATTATCATTGTTGTTCTATCAACAGCTGGAGACACACAGTTATTAGACAAACAGCACGTAACCTCATCAGAAGGACTTAATTCATGGATAAACGTGCAGGAGATGCTGTTTGTTGATCAGACGATTCCTGTCATGGAGAAACTCACCAGACTCAGTAATCAGAAGTAAGGTGGAGTTACTACGTCCCATCTCGTTCTGGGCTTCACAGTAATAATTCCCACTGTGTTCAGCTGTGAAGTCAGTGATGGTGAAGATCTGTCCTGATGCTCGTGGTGAGTCTTCATGCTCCTTGTACCAGGTGTAGTTAGCTGCTGGGTTAGCATCAGCGCTACAGGTCAGAGTCACTGAATCGCCCTCCAGCATCTCAGCAGACCGACACACTGACACAGAGGGACGCTGTGGACCATCTGGAGGAGACGTGTCAACATATTGTTACAAGTTAGAGTTCAATAAATAGACGTTGATAACAAAACACCACCTCAGTAGTGATTATGTTGCTTTTAAAAAGGTTGTTTCACTCACATTTCACACGGATCAAGATGAAGTCAGACGTCTTCCTCCCCAGCTGGTTCTCAGCTGTACAGAAATACCATCCAAAGTCAGAGGACTGGATGGAGCTGAAGACCAGCTGAGGTTCTTTACTGAGAAGATGAGGGTCTGACGTTCCATCCTGCTTGTACCAGGTGTAGTTAGCTGCTGGGTTAGCATCAGTGCTACAGGTCAGAGTCACTGAATCGCCCTCCAGCATCTCAGCAGAGGGACTCGCTGACACAGAGGGACGCTGTGGACCATCTGGAGGAGACGTGAATAAACATACTAAGAGGTTAGAAGATGTTAGCGTAGATAGTTGATCATTTGAATGAATACTTGTGTGTCTTTCTCTCAGACTATCTCTATTATTCATCACAGCAGCTGTCACAGGTGAGACTCCTGCTGGTGTAAAGTGACAATAAGCAGCCTTTAATCCTTTGTAATGTTCATATCTCCACACATTCTTCTCTTTAGATGCTGCTTGTGTCCTTAGCTGAGTCTGTCCTCTCACTTCTAGTTGTTGTAGGAGTTATTGATTGTTTCCTCCACCAGCTGACACGTCACTTCTACTTATGTTCTGGAATAATTCACTTGAGTCTTTATGAAAATCACATTATTCTGTCTGCTGATGGTTTATATTTGTGTTTCTATTAATAAGAGAATGACATAAATAAAGATCTGTGTCTCCTTTAACATTTAGACTCCAGTGTGTTTACAGCTGTGATTAGAATCATATTGTTGTGTCAGTGTGTGAGTGACTCTTCTACACGTAGACTGCAGGGGCCGGGGATTGAACCAGCAACCCTCTGGTCAGTGGACCACGGCTCCACCTCCTGAGGAACGTTGTGCTTCATCTTTTTGATGCCTCTAGTTTACATGCAGCGGTCTGGTGCCTCCATGTGAGATGTTGTTGAAGCTCCACAGGCCGACACAGTGGAGTGAACTTACACACTGCAGGAGAACGTTGACCATAAGATCCTCTTAAATAACAGGAATATCTGTCTGTAGAACCAGAGGAGACTAGAAGAGAAGATCCTGTCTCGATATACTCTTCATTCTTGGACCAGACGTATTCAGCACGATCAGACAGAACACAGCTGCTGTGACACGTCAGCTCCAACCGGGTAGAATCTGATCTTCTCATCTGCACCTGGAAACCTGAATCAGTGAATATTATTTATTAAAGTGTCAACATTCACAGAAGACATTTATACTCTAGTTTTCTAGATGTTGAACATTTGTAGATGATTAATATGTGAATTAAAATGTTACCTGTGACAGACAAAGTGACTCCAGGTGAACCAGTATATTTCTCTCCTGGTTCGTTTGTAATGAATCTGAATTTGTACTTAGCTGAGTCGCTCTCTCTCACGTCTGTGATGGTCAGATAACAACTATAACTATAACATGTGTACGTCACACGGTCTGAATACTCCGAGTCTGTTTTCAGATCCACAGGTTCACCATCTTTCACTTTAGTGAATGGGGAAAGGCCATTGAATTTCCACTGTTGATCCTTTTGCAGCACAGACGTCAGTCTGATGGTAATTCACTCTCCATCCATCCTGACTCTGTATCACTGTAACACAGCACATCAGGAACACAGTCACACTCAGAACAACATCACAGGACACACTCTCATTGGTAGTTTACTGAAGAGAAAAGATATTATGAGAAATATGAAATCATTGAGTTATAGAAAGTAATGAAAGAGTCCACGATGTCCACATGGACTCTGCAGCTGGAAGGAACAGCGACGTATTGAACCTGTGGACCTGAAAAAGCTCAAGTTGAAGTATAGAAGGGTTTGGTTGATGAGAAGAAGAGTGTCTTTGCTCTGTGCTCTTCTGTCTGTGGTCAGTCTGCTGCAGAGTGGAGATGGAAACTGTAGAGAAATGCAGAACTCTGAGGGGAACGATACTGTGACATATAGATCACATCTCACTGAGGACACGGCGCTCAGCACTTGGACTGGTGATGGCTTTAAGAAACTCACGCTTTAGTTAACGTGTCAAAAACGTCGTAGCCT